GCAGTCAGGAAACACGGCAAGGAAACAACTGAGCAGCGTCCGGGTCGTCCTGGTCCTTCGGAGAGGACAAAAAGGGATGTCAAGAGGAGCATCGAAATGGATCCTATATTAACGACTGCAGAAGTGGCCAAAGTTGGTGGGATGAGCCCGAAATCATATTTAATCTTTCTCTTCTTCTTTAGTTTAGTAAGAGGAATGCAACTTTTTTTCACCAAGACTTTTCAAAACTTTTTACAAATACACGTTTTTAACAGTATATGTTACTTTGACAAAAGAGCTTTGGTCAAAGAATGTGGCTAAATTCCTTTCACTGTAGTTGTCTATTGTTCTGAACCATTCCTCTTTAGTGTCACGAGTGCTTTCTCCTGGTAAACATTGTAAGATAGTATAACACACTAGGTAAAGGAAGGCGGTGATCTTTTCCAGTGGCAGATGAGTGATACATTGAGCTTGTACTATCTTATATTTTTCTACTGGTATAAGAAAGAGTAATAGGGGTAGAACATGTACACTGAGAGAGATTATGCTGTTGTATTTTCTATAAAATTGTTGTGCTCTCCCAATCTTACTGAGAATTTCTTCTGAAATCTACACTATCTCAAATGTTTTCAGAACTTAACCAAGTCTGTCTTCTGAGTAAGAACGGCGTTGTCTTGTTACCTGTGCTCTCATTAACCTTAATTTGTGTTTTTGTTTAATACAGATTACTGCTCACTTTGTTATTACATTGTGTTTATCTTTTCTACATTCGTTCAGAATCAAGGAATTCATAGTTCCTTGTGCATAACATTTCCTGACCTTCCTCTAGATATTGAATTTACTATTCTTATCTGAACGGGTAGATAATATATGCGGAAGTACCACACTAAACGCTTACAAGCTTCTAACCATAACTCAAAATCAGTGGCTGTTTTCATGAGAAAAATAGCTGAAGAAATCAGAATCACAACAATCACATTCACCCAGGCGTTATATATACTCATAATACGTGTAAATTATAGTTAAGCATTTGTTTTGTGTTTGTTTACTGAGCGTTAATCACACTTTAAAAGAAAGATGTTCCAGGTCTTGTTCTGCCTTTGAACTACTACTTCCAATGCTAGTCTTGCTCAATTATGTTATGCACTATTGCCCAATATTACAATTCTACTGTAACAAGGACGCTGAGGTCAGTGTTATACCTCGACATACTTTTCATAGACACTCTACTGTACATGAATGTCAGTTTTCACTCCCACATTTAAGCAGACCAAAAGCATGAAAGACCATTGGAGCTGCACTGGGAGACTTGACAGATATGTGCACACGGCACAGTTACAAAATTCGTCCTGCTCAGTTTCAGCCCTCATTGTCAAACCTAAAGGAAGGTTTAAGGTAGCTTTGTATTTTTCCATGAGAATTTTGGGCTCACAAAATGTTAGTTTGAAGCGATCAGTAGATTTCTGAAGACGACATTCTGCAGATGCTGGTTTAAAGTAATCAGTAGGAGATTTCTGAAGACGACATTCGGAAGATACTAATTGGAAGTAATTATTTTAAGATTTCTAGAGATGACATTCTGAAGATGCTGGTTTGAAGTGATAAGGA